GGCACTGGGAGGGACTAGAGGGTTACTGAGGGATCCTGGAAGGGCACTGGGAGGGACTGGGGAGTTACTGGGGGATTATCAGGACACAGGGAGAGACACTGGCAGGTTACTGGGCCATACTGGGGGTTACTGGGTGCTCACTGGAACATCACTGGGCCATACTGGGGGGCAGTGGGAGGTCACTGGGACACACTGGAACATCACTGGGCCATACTGGGGGGCAGTGGGAGGTCACTGGGACACACTGGCTGGTCACTGAGGGGGTTACTGGGCCGTACTGAGGGGCACTGGGATCCCCTAAACCCAGATGCGGTACATCTCCCCCCCGGACTTTGGGGGGCACCCCCAGGACTCCTCCCCTCGGGGGTTGGGAGATCCCCTGAACCCCACTGCTGGGCTTTAGGGGACCCCCGGGCCCCCCTCCCTTTGGGGTCTCTGTGTGCTGAGTGTTGGGGGTCTCTGGGGTTCGGGGGGGGCATTGGGATCCCCTTTCCCTGGGGTCGGTCCGCCGGGCCGGCAGGGGGCGCTGTGACGGGAGGGGTAATGGCGGGTCGCGGGTAATGCCGGCGGGTAACGCCGGCGGGTAACGCCGGCGCGCCTGCGCAGTGCAGCCAGGGCGCTGGGACAGCCCCACCCCCTTCCCCCGCGCGGGCTCCAGGCCCCGCGCTCTGACCCTCGGGAACCCCCGAACCCCTCTGCTAAACTCTCCCGAGCCCTCCAGCCTTTCCACCCACAGCCGCGCTCCCCGCAGCCCCGAGCGGATCCCCAGAATCGCGCTCTCCGAGCGCAGCCGCACCTCCACCGCCATCGCTGCCCCGCAGACAACATGGCGCTCTGCGCACGCCCCGCCTCTCGAGCCCCCGCCGCAGCCAATCAGCGCTCGGCCCGTCCCCGCCCCGTCCCTGCCGGTCCCGCCCTGTCGGGTGAGCGGGGCGGGCACGGCGGGAAAGCGGCGGGGGGGAAAGAGCGGGGGGACCCCAAAGGGAGCGCGAGGGGCGGGGGGTCACCCCCAAAGGGAGCTGGGGGGAGCCGGGCTTTGAAGGGGCTGCTTTTCCAAACTGCCCTGCTTATCCCACATGTGCACACTTCTCTCCTGCTGGGATCTGGCCCAGACAAACCTGAAAATACCTGGAAGTGCCACCTCCACCAGCACTTCCTCCACAGCTGCTTTCAAGGATTTCTCTTCAATTTGCCAGGGAAATGCTTCCAGATCATACTTCCATCTACAAGTCAGAACACCAGCCTGCACCAGGACTCCTGCTTGTTTTCCCTGCACTTGCTGACAGGAGGTGCAGAGGCAGGATGTCAGCACTTCATCACCAACAGCCTTAACGGGGGATGACTCCACTTTTTAACCTTGGAAGAAGAGCAGCTTTTCCTTTTCCTCTCCTGTTTTTTGGGGTTAGTTTTTTTTTACCTTCTGAATAAAAGAACACGTGTAAATTGAAATAATCTGAACCCAACTTTTCAGAAGACTGACACCTTTGAGCAGCTTCCTCTTACCCCTCTCTCCATGTTGGAGGAGTGGCCAGATGAAGAGTTACCAGCCCATCCTGGCTTCCAGAATGGCACAGCTGGTGGTTAGAGATTCATCTCACAGTTATCTAGAATATGCCCAAACTTGTTCTGCCCTTCCTAATTCTTAACTCAGACCAATGGCTCCAAACCCAGCATCTGGGAGGCTGATTAGGTTGGCAAGAACATTTCCCTGTGTGATAACAGTGTGGGCACAAGGACTGGGAGTGTGTCATAAGAAATCTGACTTGCATACGTGGGGTAGGAGATAAAAAAAACACAGATAAGCAGAAAATGTTTGCTTGCAAGGAAGAATTGGCAGCAAATCTGTCAGAAGATTAGTGCAGGTGACTATCAAATACAGGAGAAAACGTGATGAAAGGAGTAACTCATGACTCTTTATCTGAGCTATGAAATGAACAGTAACTTCAGCCACTGATGAGAGATTTTTTTAAATACAGAAGTGAGTTTGCAGTTGTAGCATTTTCCACATTAAAGCCTACAGCTGGTAAATAATAAAATAATCAATTAAAAAGCAATCAAGCTTGCTGCATGAAAACCTCTCAAACAGGCTGCTTCAAACAACAACAGTCTTCTTGCTCCCCTCCTTCCCCCAAGCCCCAAAACTTCACCACATCTCAGGTCTGTACTACTCACACACATCACTTGGCAGAGGAAAGCCACACAAAACAAAAGATAAAGAATAATTACTTGTTTTGGTAGGTACTGATGGTCACGTGTGTTGAATGGGAGGTCCCAAGAGGAGTGTCAGCTTGGTGGATGGTGCCTCTTGGGAAGTACAGTAAGTCACCTGGCTGCAAGAAAATTGATATATTTAGGGCACCAGGTCAAACCTTACTGCAGTCAGAGAAAATACTCTCTGAGCAGACAGTCTGACAATATATATCCTTTAGAATCACAAAATGGAGCAGTCCTGCAATGTACACTTTAATAACATAAAGAACACCAAGCCAGAAGTTCAGAACCTTAAACTTTCCAACCTGCTGTCAATATTTGCTGAAAATGTGAAACAAGGTTTTTAACATCACAGAACACACAGACTCCCACTGAGCTGCAGGAAGAGGACAAAGAAGCAGCTGAGATGGACCTGCTGGCAACACAGTGGGCTGGCAGAGGAGCAGTGAAATGGGGATTTGGTCAGATCACATCAAAAGAAAAGGCTAGTATTCCACGAGAAAAGCCAAATAGTCTATAAAAATGGTAATCTGTTACAATACTGTTGTCTGAGATTTTCAGTTAAAGCACTTAAAAAACAGGTATGACCTTCCTCCTCCTCCTCCCTATCTTTCTTCTCACCTATGTAAATTAAAACTCCACACTGAAAAAAAAACTAGATAAGGAAAGTCAAGACAAAAAAGGTGTAAAGCACATAAAATTGCCTCCAAGAAGGAAATAAAAGTTTACTTGTGGCTTGTCCTGTAAACACCTACAGAGTTGGACAGCACAGTCAAAGAAAACTGCCTTCCTTACCAGAGTGGGGACTACACCAACCAAGAGTATTCTGAATTCTCTTCATTTGAAAGATGGAGAAAGGAAATATTCTAGAAAGATGTTTAGGGAGGAAATAGAGTCCAACAACAGCATCCCTCTCAGAGGCAGCCACAAAGAGACAACCAAACTTTGACAGCAGCCACCCAGAAGAAATGGGTCACAGGAAGTGAACAACAGCAAACAGAAGAAAAATAAATTAAAAACCTGGATAACTTTTAAGCCCATCATTATTCCATAAAAATGAAAGGCACTGAAGTCTGGTCCAAAATATTCCAGGAATGAAAAAGGGAACTGTAGTTTACCAGACTTTGCATCACCCAGTACACGATGACGATTGAATATTCCCCTCTGTCAAACAACACAGCTCATGATGTCAGCATCCCATCCAATGTGTCACACTGTTCCTAAAACACCTACACCATCCAACATGTCACACTATTCCTCAAACACCGACACCCAAATGCAGCTCTGGACACTGAGAAGAGCAGAGAGAGGCTCCATAACAGGCCAAAAGGCAGAGAAACTCCTGAGGATTCCAGCATGGAGCAGCAGCACCAGCTGGACAAGTAACACTTCAAAAGCAGGTCAAACAGAACAGGACAAGCACCAGATTCCCTGCTGACACTCAGTAATCTTCATGAAATGTTCCTTTCATTCCAAAAATCAACCACCAACCAAAGACTTGAATTTCACGTTTGGAAAAGGGAAGAGCAATTAATACAGCAAGTTTATATGGGGTTTGGGTCGTGCTTTTCTTTATCAGCCAAGGATAAATATTTAAATCTCATTCACCAGAACAGTGACAATGTTCAGTGCAGCAGTAAGTCTCAGTGCACAGGAGGATTAGCCTGAGGGATTACAGGCAGCATGTAAAAGCATAAAAATGTTTTAGAACCATACACAAACCCAGTGTTTTTTCTGCACACAACTCCACAAACATGACCTAGGAGCCAGGGTGCCCAACCTGGAGAGTACAAGTCAATTTACAGAAATAACTGGGGTTTTTGGCCCCTTATTTAAATACTAGAAGCAAAGGATACCTTTAAAAAAGGATACAGACAACTATCACCCAAATTTCTCGTGCTCGCAGTGTGCAAACCCTCCCCTCATTAATTTTTAGATGGCTACAATTCAGAGAAATTTAAATTTGAACTCATTTTTTTTGTCTCTATTTAGAGACAACAGACAGAGGAGTTGTGAAGTGGGATCTGTTTTATCCTAAGGCAGGCATTTGGAAATCCCTGTTTCTTTCCAGTCACTTCAGTAAGTGCTAGAGAACTAACCCAAAAGGAACATCTGCCACACAAATAGCCAAAATTTCAGGTGAAAGAGGCTTATCCCCAACAGAGCATCAGAAACCTCTATAGGGTGCCCAGTGGGGGTAGATGGCATGAGTTAGAAATGCTGGATGTGAGGCTGCTGAATAACAAGCATAAGGAAAATGAAACTCCAGGTGTATTGAATGGAAATGAAAATATTAAAAAGCAAAATATACATATAAGGATTGGATTTTTTGATTTGGTTTAAGTGGGATAGTCCAATTTTTTCTTTATAACGCAGTGTATCTTTGTATGTTTCTTTTAGAAGCTGATTTAAAATGCATTTGGACCACAGGAATTCATCATATCAGTAACTTCTTAAAAACAGCAGGACCCACAAGCACAACCAGTCTGCTGCTACAGTCCAGCTGAAGAAAGAGCAAGTACTTAGTAAAGGAAAAAGGACTTGTAAATTCTTGGGGCCTGAATGAAGTGAAAATGAAAAAACAGGTGCTGGAAAGCTTCTGCAGCTGTGAAAACAAACTTCTCTTTTTATCTAAGGGAAATACCAGGTCTGGAAAACCCAGTTTACATGATATTATGATTAGATATTACTATTAGTAAATTTTCAGCAAAATATGTAAGAAAAACGACCACAAGGAAACACAAATAAAAAACCCCCACATTTTCCTGTAACGTTTAGTGGGGGGGAGGGTTAGAAGCACACACACAACAGCAAACACTGCCATCAGCAAAAGCCCATGCACAATTTCCCAGGCAAGGTTGTGCTGTCCTACCTCAACATCATCATAGTGAGGAGGAAGGCCCTGGGATCCCTGGGGAGTGATGGAAACATTGGACCCCACCAGAGACCCAAAGCAGCACTCCAGCTTCTCCTGAAAATCTTCCACAGCTCCTCCTGTAAAAAAAAAAGATGCTGTTACTTGCTGAAGAGCTCAGGCAAGCCCAGCCCACATCCTCCCCATGGCTTGGGAAGAATGATCACATCAGGGACACAGAGGCTGGGAAGGAAGGTGCTCTGTACCAGTGTTTCTCCTGAAGAAGAGCACTGGAGATGCAAAGGGGATCTGCCAGGAGAGTCACTGCTAAGCCAAAAAGTCTGGTGCCCCAACCTGGGTTTGTTCTCTTCCCTGTGCCATCTTTAGGCTGCACAACCAGACAGACAAGGCTGAACAGAGGAAAATAATCCCACAAACAGCAGAACACCATAAGACAATAAGCACATGCAGGACCTGCATTCTCTCACCAGAGAGAACATACAAAGGTTAGAGACCTTTCACCAGTCACTCCAATCATTTGGGAATATTCAAAACCAAACTTGACTCATCCACACCCCACATGTGACAGACAAGGCACCGAAGGGAAACAGCAGAACGTGCCAAGTACCAGATCCACACAAGTGCAGCTTGGCCATTAAAGCTGACAGCAGCCAGGAACACTATACCTGGGACTCAGCTTGTATTTGGGATCTTATTTGGGCCCACCTCACAATTCAATTGTGCTGACACCTTCAAGGCTACCTGAATCAAAGCACCTCCAAGAATCCAAGTCCTTTACACAACTGTGCAGCACCACTGTCTCCTTCTCAAACTCAAGGACTGAGAACACTCAGCTAAAATGGGCTGGTGCCTTTCCATGGTGCAATTCACTGGCAAGAACACTGGAAATATTTCACATGGTTTCACACCTTACCCTCCATTAAAGGGAAGTGGCTCAAAAGCCACAAAGTTTGCACAAGGAAACAGTGGGGCAGAAGGGATAATTTAAGCACAGATGCCTAATCATCAATTTTGTGCATTTGTGTTTTTTTTTTTCCAAACTTTTATGTGACAGAGCAAAATTTTAAAAAGAATATATTATTACACATATTATAGCATGAATCAGATTTTGTTCTTACTGCAGAGCAGTGAAACATGATGGACAGTGCAAAAGTATAAACTGTGTTTTAATACAGCTCATGTAAAGATTTCAGCAGGTCATCAATGTCAACCACTTCCCCTGGGGACAGAGATGAAGCCATGTCTAGTGCAACTCAAACACACCACATTATTAAGCCAGCATCAATTATATCCAGGGAAACAATCCCACCTTAAATCTCTGAGGCTGATGAAACTGTATTGTTGCCTTTTTCTGGTCAAAATCCTTCTTCAGCTGCATGTAATTCACTTTGCCTTCTTTATTTATTATTATCTTTCTTGGGCATGGTCCCTGTTCAAGAGGAGAGAGGACCAAAACAATCAACCAGCAACACAACCTCAAGAGCTCACAGGCCCAGAGCAACAACTCTTCCCCTACCCAGTGGGATATCAGAGTATCCCAGGAACAGCTCTGGTTTCAGAGCCTCACTATTTGCTCCAAAGCATTAACAGTTTACAGAAGACAGGGAACATTGTTAGGCCTTCCTGTTGATGCTCTGTAATTACTACATTTACAAGTTTAAAACTTGTAAAATTGACCAGTTTAAGAACTGAAAGGCCAAGATTCTGCTTTCAGTCCTGTCGAGCTGTCAAACTTTGTTTATGTAGAACAAAAAGAATTCTTTCATACAAGCACAGACATTTCATTTTAAAGCTGGAAGTCATTTACTTTGTTTTTCCCAGGCAGATAGTATGATTGTGTACCATTATGCAAAAATAAAGAAGTTGATCTACAAATGGTTTGGCTGCCAATTCTCAGGAAAGTTAAGGGGAAATCAAGTAATGGTAGGTAACTGTGCAAGTCTGGAAAGCCAACACCTGAGAAGTTTGAACGTGCTGATGCCATAATTTCTAAGTAAAAATGACAGCTCTACTCCCTACACCCATTTGATAGGAAATGCTATCAATTTGTTGAGATACTTTTATTTACACAGATCCCGTACTTTGAAACTTAAACTCCAGTTCTGGTATTTACATGCAGCACTAAGTTCTTCTGTGCAGCAGGACACCCTTGCTGGCCCACTAACTCCTGGGCAGTGTTTCATCAGCAGCTCCTGCACAGCCTGTCCCTCAACAGTAACCGAGGGTCACCTCAGCCCTGCAGGAGGGAATTCACATCACCTCCTTCCCGAGAGAATGAACATTCCCAACTGCAGCACGAGGCAAGGGAACGCGTAAAAAATTAAAGGCTGAAAATCAGTCCCTGACTGACAGCAAGATCTGAAGATGCTGCTGAAGGCACCAAGATCTAAAGCTGACATCCCCAAATGACAGCAACACAAATGCAACCAAGCCTGGATTAAGAGTTTTGAATTCCAGACCTAAATCCATTGTACCAACCTCTCAGCTCATTCACACTGATTTAAAGAAGTTACATTCAGATATTTACTACTCATAGAACGCAGCTTCATTTACAACACGGGCTGTTCTGTAGCGTTCTGCTGGTTATTACAGCTGTTCCAAGCCCCCTGCCATGGGCAGGGATACCTTCCACAAGATCTAGTTGCTCAAACCCCATCCAACAGGATCCAACCAGGCCTTGAGCACGGCCAGGGATGGGGCATCCACAGCTTCTCGGGGCAACCTGAGCCAATGCCTCACCACCCTCCAGCAGAAAAAAATTCTCCCTTACATTTAGTCTAAACCTAAACCGTTCAGCTTAAACCCATTGCCCCTTGTCCTGCAGCTACAGGCCCTCATAAAAAGTCCCTCTCCATCTTTCTTGCACCACTTAAGTCCTGACAGGCTGCAAGGAGGTCTCCACAGAGACTTCTCCAGATTGAGCCATCCCAGCTCTCCCAGCCTGTCTCCGCAGCTGCTCCATCCCTCTCATCATCTTCCTGGCCTTCCCTGGACTTGATCCAAGAGGTCTGTGCCCTTCTCACGCTGGGAGCTCCAGAGCTGGATGCAGCGCTCCAGGTGGAGAATCACCAGAGCGCGGCAGAGGGGCAGAACCCCCTCCCTCACCCACGGCCCGCTGAACGGGATGCAGGATACGCCCGGATTTCTGGGCTGGGAGCTCAGCGCCAGCTCAGCCCCAACTTTCCATCCACCAGCACCCCCAATTCCTTCCGTGCCGGGCTGGAGGACAAAGCCCAGCGCAGAACCCCACACGGGAGCAGCTGCTCCCCGCCAGGGCTCTTCCCTCCCACACCACGGCAGCTCCCTGGGAAGCGGCGGGAATACCGCCGGGCACAGCGGGAATACCGCCGGGTACAGCGGGAATAGCGCCGGGCACAGCGGGAATAGCGCCGGGCATAGCGGGAATAGCGCCGGGCACAGCGGGATAAGCGCGGCTGGCAAGGAGGGAATGGGAATAGCGCCGGGCACCGCGGGAAGGGAATAGCGCCGGGCAAAGCGGGAATACGAGCGGGAAATAGACGCCGGCAGCTGTCTGGTTTTTGTGGGCCTAACGCCGGGCCCGGCGGGAATAGCGCCGGGCACATCGGGACTAGCGCCGGGCCATAGTGGGAATTACCGCCGGGCACAGCTGGAATAGCGCCGGGCACAGCGGGAATAGCGCCGGGCACGGCGGGAATACCGCCGGGCACAGCGGGAATACCGCCGGGTACAGCGGGAATAGCGCCGGGCACAGCGGGAATAGCGCCGGGCATAGCGGGAATAGCGCCGGGCACAGCGGGAATACCGCCGGGCACAGCGGGAATAGCGCCGGGCACAGCGGGAATACCACCGGGCACGGCGGGAATAGCGCCGGGTACAGTGGGAATACCCCCGGGCACAGCGGGAATAGCGCCGGGCACAGCGGGAATAGCGCCGGGCACAGCGGGAATACCGCCGGGCACAGCGGGAATAGCGCCGGGCACAGCGGGAATACCGCCGGGCACAGCGGGAATACTCCGAGGACACGCGGTGTCCCCGCTCCCCCCTCCCGGCTCCCGCCGCCTCCATCCAGCCCCTTCCCGTCCCGCGGCCCCGCACTCACCCGGGCAGGAGGGAGGATCGCGTGGGATCGGGGCGGGCCGGGATGGATCGGGGCGGGCGAGGGGAGGCGAGGCCAGGCTGGATGTGCCGGGTGGGAGCGGGAGGCGATCCTGCCGCGCTGGGAGTCACGGCAGGAGCCGCTTCCGGGCGGCCAGTAGGAAATACGGCGGCATTCCAGTGTCATTCCAGTGTGTATTCCAGTGGGAACGCAGCAGCACTAAGGTTAATCAATCTGCTTCATACAACGGTGCCTGGGCTTCAGCTGCGTTATTTATTTTTTTTTTCCTGGACCAAAAATCTTCTTCTAGAGTCTCCCTGAGTCTCCCTCAAAGAAAACTTTGGAATCCTCACCGAGCACGTGAAAACTTCCAGAAATATTTTTAGATGCCTGTTAATGGTTTGTTTTACGTTGGCTAATGATGTCAGAAACAAAAGAAAATGTTAGGTAGGCTTTGCTGAAGCTTTGTTCTTGTGTACTGGCTTGAAGGATACGAAGCAGAACTAGCAGAAATAAAAAAGGTGGATTTTGGAAACCTCAGCAGCCTTACAGTGCACGGCCGATGTTGGTACAAAGTGACACTGCCATAAGTGTAACTAGAAGGACCTTTCAATGACAGGTAAGAGAGGGGACTGTGTCCTGTCAACAACTTAAGGAGGGAGAATAACAGAGCCTTGCACATCTCCAGCACCAGTTCAAATCCTTCCCTTCACGGAAAGTGGGTTTCAGTCTTGTTCCTCCTCACAGTGTGGTTGTTACACAGTCAGAACTTCTGCTTCCCTGGCACCAGCTGGATCATTTGGAACAAATGTCGTGATTCCAGTGGGTTCTGCATTCATGGATGCATCCAGCAAATTCCTGTGTGCTGAGCAGAGGAAGTGGCAAAGTATAATATATAGAAAAGGGGGGTGGAGGAGAGAAAAAGGCAAACGCTGCTCATACTGTTCAGTCCTTGTTCCTTTACCACCTGGACCGCTCTGTCGCCAGCTGACCAAAATATCCTGGTCACTTGAACATGAAATAAGGATTAATCAGCGTGTGGCTGGGTTAACAGCAGAGAGATTTTGCCAGGGGTGAACCTACAGCTGTCCTAATTGTAGAAATGTGTACAAATTAGATAAAAAATTTAAGTTTCTCTAGAAAGCTTTTTTTTTCATAGGCCTGTGAGCTTCAAAGAAAAAGAAGACAATCTCCACTTTCTAATTCTGAGTTCATCACTACATCCCTCAACATCCAGGACATTTTGCAAAATTTATTAAACTTCAAATATTTTAATGTAAATGCTCACCAATAGTTGGGATATTCACAGTGAAAAATAGGTCACTGTCATGAAATTCTCTTTATTTCTTTCATGAGAATTAGCAAGCTTTGAAGAAGGAAGTAGTTCTCCAGACTTAAAAGGTTGCATCACCTAAATTAACACTCACAGGATGGGCGTACCAGCAGATGCTAAAAATAGAGAGGCCACATCCTGCACCTCAGCCGGTCACAGACACCCTTAAAAGATGTTATTTCTGTTCCAAAAATCCACAAAGTACCTCAGCATAAGTGCCTGAACACCATCAGGGTGAATACTCAAACAAATACACATTTACATAATGGCTGTGGTGTTTTTAATTTGCTGTGGGACATAAACCCCACACATCTGACCGGCTGCAAAACCAGTAGGAATGGGGAAATACTTTTGAGTACCTTTTTAAAGACTTCCGGGCTGATCTGGAGAGACAAATTGGCTAAAAGTATTTATTCCCATCCCAGTGGGGAAGGTAACACAGCTTCAGAGGAGGGTGGTGGGCGCTGTAACCAGCCCTCTAGCACCCCCCAGACGAGAAATAATGCGTTTAAATACCGTTTGTTATTTTTAACTACTAATACAAGCAACAGATTTCTGAAGTGTAATTGATCCCGGTATCATCCCTGTCACTGCCTTAAGAAAATAAAAATTATAACCTTTGCTGTAAAAATATCCAGTCAAGTTTCATCAGCATTTACAAGGGCCTGTAGTGACAGCACAAGGGGGGATGGCTTCAAACTGAGAGAGGGCAGGTTTAGATGGGATATTACGAAAAAAATTCTTCCCTGTGAGGGTGGTGAGGCACTGAAACAAGTTACCCCAAGAATTTATGGATGCCCTATCCCTGGAAGTGTTCAAGGCCACGTTGGATGGAGCTCTGAGCAACCTGGGACAGTGGAAGGTGGAAGGACTGCCAATTCCAGCACAGGGCTCCTGCAAGCACACGGCTCTACCTCCACCCTGGAAAGAAAGCCCTTACCCTCCGTCTCTCATGTGCAGTTGGTGGGGCAGCCTGGGCACTCGGTGGGCAGCAAGAGCTTTCTGTGGTGGCACCTTTTGTCTGGCAGGAATCTTCAGCTGGATTCAATTTTCCAGGAGGTGGGACCGGCCATTGCAGCGCAGGGCTGAAAAAAGAGAGCAACAGCCCTTTTTCCCAGGAAAGCAAGCCTGTAACCTTTGGGTTTCAGGTGCAGTTGGTGGGTTTTACAGATTGGTCAGGGGCTGCAATGTGGTTCTTTAGATGATTACTTCGAAGGCGAGATTAAGGCACAAAACTCCAAATGTTAGGTCTCAAACAGACAATTTGCTTTCTTTGTAGCAATAAGTAATGGTAAAATCGAGGCGGGAGGGGAGAAGAAGAGGGAGAGATAGGGAAAAGGAAAGTACAAAAAGGTTACCACCCCCAGTGAGAGATCCAGGTGTAGTCAGCCTCAGGCAGTCATGGAAGGGCCGCTGGAGAGAAGCAGGGGGGAAACAGACTGGATGCAAGACAGACAGGAGACGGAGCAGGTGGGACATGAGCAGGACAGAGGCAAGCAGGATGGAGCGAGGAGTGGGGACCAGCAGGGGACCCTGGCCAACACTGACTGGACTCACCACCACGCTGGGCACTGCCTTAAATCCCCCCCTGTGGGCGCTCACTGGCCAGCCTGGCACCGGGCACACCTTTACACGATGTTGAATGGCTAAGCTGCTGGTATACAGGCAGGCTGGCTCTGCCAAGGCGGGAAAATGTACCAGCTTTCTGTTGGAGACTCTCCAGGGGTTCCCCAAGACTCCAGCAAGCAGTCTAAAATGTTTTCCTAGGCTGACAAAGACAGCCCTGCAAAGAGCTAAAGCCGGTGTCCGCAATTCTGTTCAGTCACTGGGCTCCGGGGGAGGTTCCTGGTAGCCTGCAAAACTTTCACTTGGAAAGTACATCACCTGATGGAAATACTTTCGTTAG